AAGGTCCCAGTGGACTTGAGGGCACCTTCAAATCCGGCTCGGAGGTGAGTAATAAAAGAAACCCTCTAGATCGAACTATATTTACAACACGTCATCTTCATTACAGCTCGATTTTTACATTGACGATGATATGATTCATATTGCTGATACAAAGGTCTCACATCGCTACGGCGATTTCTTTGTGCGTAAGATAATGAAATTTAACGACCTGAATCGCAAGCTGAAGAGCATCAACATTTAAACACTGAAGCCCAATTACATTGTAATCGCACGTCAACTATATAACTATATATATTCCATTTGGATTGATTCAGTTTTGGTACCAATAAAAAAAACAGAAACTTCAAATGCGCAGCGGCGCAGCGAAAGGTCAAAACAAAGCATTATGTTTATATTATTCCGCATAGTTTTTCTGAAATCGAAACAGCTTTTAAATTTTAACATTTAGTTTATTTTCTTTAACAATACCTTTTTTTTATATAAAATTTGTATTACTATAATAAGGAAATTCAATGATCTACTGCTATTAAGTTTTGTGAGTTTTCTACAATTTCCGACAGATCTCTCCGCCAGGTGCTCGCAATATTTGCAAATTCAGCTGCTTAAATTTTTAGTTTGGAATGTGCGTATTGCTGTATAAAATTAGATTTTTTTTTATATTTCGTTCCGCATCTGCTTTTGTTTTATAAAACACCGTACAAATTTCTTTGGTAAATTAACTATGCTTGATTTTAATATGTTAAATAAGTAATTAAGGGGAGAGAGTATATAGTTAAGAGTTTGATTAAAATAGGCGCATAACACGAGAAAATAGCTTCCGCATTTACACACAATTACAATAATTATAGATAAAAAGAGGGGTTAAAATATTTTCAACTTAAGATTTAACACACTTTATACACGAAACAACGCTTGCGTTTTTCACTGTGCTTCCCTTGACGGGCTTATAGGCTAAACACTTAATGAAACAATTTACAAATTACGGACTTCTTTTGTGTGGGTTCGTCAGCTATTCCGCTAATCGACACTGACCGTGCGCTGGTTAACATCGATCAGATAGATAGCCTTGTGATTCTGCAGCACAAAGTCAACAAATGCATTGATCGGTGCTATCTCCTCGAGGGAAGTGTTCGTGCGACCGGACCACAAGAAATTCGGACCGAATACAATGGCCAGATTCGATGATGTCATCTTGTTGAGATCCGCACAGTCCACAACTCGCACCAGAAAGTCCACCAGGTATTTAAATAGCTCGTAATTCTCTTCGGGCAGTTTTTCACGTATCAGCTGGGTAACGTTCCTCGAACGCTCCTCCTTGGGCCAGTCTAGGAACTTGGTGACATCATCGTACAGCTCGAAGGTAAGCAGTGGTTCGGCGAGATCCCGTAGGAAACTCTTGAGCAGACCCGCTATGACATGCACATTGACGTTGCTTAAGTCCACGTCCTCGCCACGATTGACGCGCTCCTTGAGAGCCATAATCTCACTATGATTGCCGGAACGCCGGAAAATACCTTCCGTGTCGATGACGCCCGTGATCGAGAGCGAGTCCACACACTTCCGCACTATCGGCGGTATGGAATTCAGGCATGGACTGTGCATAACGATGAACTTCAAGGTCACGCCAAACTGCATCGTTGGCCGCCCATTGGGTGCTGCTGGCTGCGATACGCGGCCACGACTCGGATTCAGTTTATGGTCGAAGTCGCAAATGGTGTCCGGCAACTTGAGCTTGTTCAGGCCCAAAGCCTGACGTAGCTCATCGAGGCTGGAGATATAGACTAGCTTTTTGCGAAACTTATCGCTGATGAATGGACTGAAGAAGTTCCAGATGACGCGTATAAACCACGTCGGATGCACCACATACAAAGTCTTTAAGTTTTTGCGAAAATTACGATCCAGCTCCTTGTATGAGTTCCACAGGAATTGCGCCGAGGGCTTATTGTCCTCCTTGAGACCCTGATGAAAGTAGACGAGTATATAATCGTTCTCCACAAACGGTTCAATCTCTTTGATGACTTGTCTGGTGAATTAAAGTAAAATATTAGTTAATTATTTAAAGATAAGATATTACCTAAATTTACCGCACAAAACCTTCGAGTTGCGACTTTTCGGGAAAGCGCGAGGCGTAAATGCCAAAAATGTGACGGCCTTGTTTATCAGTGCCCAGGAAGTCGCATTTATTCTTGTTGCCCTGAAAGTTCTCGGACTGCTCACGCAGCTGATCTTCAAAGTCGTCCTCTAGGGGATTTGGTGCCTCTTCTGTCTCAAGTTCGGGATCTGGAAACGGATCTGCAAACGTTTACAACGTCACGCTCAATTACACCGAGCTTAACTTACCATCGGCTAGCACAAAATCACCGACCATAACATCTTCTGTGAATAAAAAGCAAGTGTTTAGTCATTCCTTTACTCATTGTCTGTGAGCGCACATTATGTGCAAATAGTTCTTACTCTCTAGGGGCGCTGGGGTCAACAGCTCGGTATCATCAAACTCCAGCTTGGGCTCGCAGTCATGCAGATCGGATAGACTGGGCAGCGGCTCGTCAGAGTTACCCACAATTGAGCTAATGGCGGGCCCTTCGCGTTTTTCGATAAGAGATAAAAAGAATTTATTAATCTCTTAGGGTTACTTTTGGAGTGGTTACAAATTTCAGAGATGTAATCTTACAAGTTAATGCTTTTCACTTAAGTATTTTGTCGGCCTTAGGCAAGAAGTTAGTTCGGATTTGTGTAAGTGAATAAATATGAATCAGAAAGAATTTCATGAGTTATTTCGGAGGGGGCTTCAAAACGTTTCTTAGTTTCAATTTCGGTTATTTACAAAGAGAAGAAGACTAAGCCACACACAAAGTACAACAGTAAACAAATAGCAAACAGCGCAGCTACAAAAAACAACTAGTAGTAAAACTGTACGATTTGATGCATGTTTTTTATGTTTTGTTTAATGTACGTTCTATATACAGTGAGACATCACTCGGAATAGGCATGAGATATAGTAAATGCTCTATTTAGGTTAGTAGCACAAACAATGTTTGGGGGGCGGGGAGTATAAGGTTAGTCTAAAGCAACGCATTCTTTACTTTTTGGTTTACAGTTACAGCTAACGTTTAAATCTTAAGCGAGCGCCAAAGCATTCGAGACTCATTTTATTTTTTTTTTTAGAAAGCCAGAAAAAAGCAAAGGTAAAAACGTAAACAAATTGTTAACAGATTTATGTTTATATAATTACAAACTGAAATTTAAAAAAATAGGGTGCCTACAGACTGTTAGGCAGCGGGTCTTACCTGGTAATCGCGCTGGGAAACGTGAATTGACATCCATTGCCTCAGTGAGAGGTTTTTGTCGTTGTGAGGAATTTACTGATGAATAAACGGCGACACCTGGCAAAATTAAAGAAAACAAATAGACGTTGGGTATATTAGAGTGTTGGGTACACTGTTAACAGAAGTAATAGCTACTCTCAAAGTAATAGCTACTAACCCTTAAGATTCGATCGTATAGTTTAAGTAGTTAAGCCTCGTAGCTAGTCGGGTATATAATGGAATATCTGTTAGTCTATATACCGTTTATATATACAGTTTAGGATGGATAAGTTCAGTTTTTTCTGATAAGATAAGAGTTTGTGCTACGGGAACAACTGCAATTATTTGCTATGTTGTAAATAGAGTAATAAAATACTTATATACTGGCACATTATAACAGTGTGTTGCAGAAAGTACAATTCGAATACATTAGCCAAAATTGGGTGCATAAAAACTACTCAGATGACGTCATAGTTTGCCGCGACTCTGTCGAAGTCGTAATAACTACAGCAACAACTACAACTACATGTTAATAAACTTGTTTCTTGCTCTTATCGCACGCTGTCCACACCTCTTACACAGTCTCCACTGCTGCTGAGCTGCTGATGATGATAATGTTGAGCGCTGATTCATATTCAACTTTATCACCAATACAAAAACAGCAGCAACATCAAAAACAATTGATTTACGCTTACTGCCAATAGGTTATTCTTGCTTCGGTAAAGTTCAAGTCGAGCCGAGGCCAAAGCTAAGCACGCAAAGTGGAAAGAGGGAGAATGGCGGCGACGCCTACGCCCACCACCAAAATAAACTACAGTATTTGCATGTACATATATACATACAAATGCAGGCACATACATACCTAAACTTGCTTCGACGCAAGCATTTAAATAGTCATTATTTTTACTTCAAGCTTAAAAACAAACACGTATTTCTTCAGATTTGCTTAAATCTTTATCAAAAGCTTGTACCATGCATACTATTTTGTGCGTCACTGTATCTGCATAAGAGACATTAGAAACATACACATATTATGTGCATATATGTGTGTGTATGTATGCAAATGTTACAATTTGCAGTTTTTCGTTTTTGCGTAAATTTAATAAGTACTGAACAATGTGAGCATTAAAAATCACTTATCATTTGGGAATTGCGCATTTGATGCTACCACAGACTGACACATATAGTATTATTTACTCTATTATTGTCAAAGAGCTTTTTATCAGCAACAGCGCAACGGCAAAATTAGATGTAAACGTACTTCACAATACACAATTTTAAAATTTGAATATCTGACCTTGCTTCGCTTTCTATTGCTTATATTGACACTTGAATATTTACCTATTTTAATTTTTAATCTTCAAAATATTCCAAAAACAAAATCGCAACAATAATTCGAGTCCAGACAAAAAGTTTGTGGTTTAACTCTGCGCCAGAGCAGGGCTGGCAAGTAATAAAGCAATATCACTAACCAGAGAGCTGGTTAGTGGCAATATCTTATGTCAGGGCTGCAGCATAAATGGTAATTATAGAGCTTATTAATTTAATATATCATGTTATTAAACATAACGTACGATAAGATAATAAATTTCGAATTAAATATTATTTATTCTATTATTTAAGATTACAAATAAATTACACTTTCGTCAAGTTGCTTGCAATCGATAGTATCGATATATAAAACATATCTGCTACGGCAGCCCTTGTTTTGACTGACCGACGTTCACGTTATTTTGGTATAAAGCACAATAGCGTAAAATTTCATAAAAATGGTTGGTTGGAGCCGTTTGCTGCTGCCAGCGGCACAATTCGCAAAGAATGGGGCTGTACTGCTTACACCTGCCACAAGGAATGGTAAGCACATCTGCTAATGCATCAGATGAGGGTGTAAACACAGCCTGCATTACGCAACCACAAATATGTTTCCATGGATCTCCATTTTAGCCCTGCAGCAGCAATTGCGCCGAATGGGAAGTGATCATGGACACCATCACATGACTATTAAGCCCTCACGCTTCCAGTGGGATAAGTTCAAGGATCTATTGCACTTTTACGTAATGATTGGCGTACTGCCGATCACCGCCCTGGTGTTATATGCAAACATCTTCGTGGGACCCTCACAGTTGGCCGAAATACCCGAAGACTACGAACCCAAGCATTGGGAATACGAGAAGGTGCCGTGAACGTGATCTTTATCGTACTAGTTTATATTAACGTGTGTTTTGCTTTTTTAGAATCCTATTTCCCGGTTTATTGCTCGGTATATTTTAACCTCGCAGCAACAGGAATACGAGAAAGCGCTGCACAACATCTTTGAGGAGAACGAAAAGGCGCAAATCCGGTAAGACTATAGATCCCCAATACAACTTGCAATGCTAACAATTCTCTCCACAGCCTGCTCGAGGAAAAGATTCGCAAAAAGATGTCCGAACGCAACGACTACCAAGCCTACTATTATCGCCCATCTGTAGCCAAATATCACAGAATATCCAAGGAGGCAGCCGATGAGCTGGAAGCACTGCGTGGCGACTAAGCCATTAGCCTATTTAAATCTTATTGATTACGAGAAATTGTTTTCAAATGTGGTCCTTTAATAGACGTAATTAAGACCTCTCTTTGAGGGAAATAAAAATGTGAAATTTATAAGATTTTTCCAGCGTCAATTCCTATACAATTAACATAACATAAACATAAAAGTAAGCAAATAAATACTTATTTAAGTAGCCAGTCGCAAATCCAAGTTTAGCCCCATGCTTGATTCTTGCAATAGTATAAAACCAATTTACCATTGGCGCCATGGCATTCGTACAGGTTTTTGATGATCTGGTCAGGCGCAGGTGCAAATGTTTGATTTACATATAAAAACTGATGAAATCGAAATATGAATTAAAGATTGGGAAATTTATAAAGATCCGTTCGTATACGTACAATTTGTTCGCTGGCGTCGAGTTTGAGGAATTTGTGTATAAACTTTTGTATCCAACTGACAGTCTTGTTGGGATCAACGGTCCATGTGCGTTTCTTTATAATGGGCACGTTGCCAGTTGCATTCAGCAGAATGCAAACTATAAGCGATAAGAAAAACAAAACATTGTGCATTGAGCAGGTGTTCGAGGAAGCAATGGCCTGCATCTTACTTTTTGCTGAATCCTTGTCGGGGGGTGCTGCAACCGATGTCGTTGATGTTGTTGTGGGAGCTTGTGTTTCCTCCGTGTCCGTCATTGTTTGGAATGTTGTAAATCACGCTATTTAGTTTTATATTTTGTATTTTAATCAGCTCTGCATTTAGTGCTCTTTGTTTTAGAAATATTTTAGCCAGGGCTGCAACGGGAACTATGCCGGAACTAGGTACTTTCGGCAGTTAAAAAATACTAGCTCATATGATTCAATAGAACCAGTTTAGTTTACTCAACTAACACACGTGCTGGCTTTTTACTAATAAACATTAAAGAATTACCGTTTATTATGAGTAACAAACTGTTTGATGGCTCCGACGATGATGCGGACGATCTACAATTATCAACTAATCAGGACTATGCCAACTCGTATAATGTTTTGCGCAAAAAGGAGCTGTTACAGAAGTGTAAGCTACCTATTGATCTTTCATATGAAGATCTCTTTAGAAATTTCAAATATTGTTACTTATTTCAGATAAGGATCGGGGTCTAGATATCTCAGAGTCAGAGCTGGATAGCGATAGCGAGTCCTCTGATGAAGATGAGGTGGATGTTAAGTTTGATCAAGAGTTTTTCAAAACTCTTGCTTCGCTGAAAAGCAAAGATCCTCGCATATACGACAAGGAAACACGTTTCTTCAATGAAAAGGCGGACAGCGACAGCGACGACGATGAAGATGCACCCAAAAAGAAATCCAGCAAGAGTAAACCGGTAACCTTGAAAGATTACGAGCGTAAGGTTATCTTGGAACACAACGGAAAATTTGAGAGCTCGGACGATGAGGCACTGACGGAAAAACAATTCGAGCGGGCGCAGTCGCCCACAGCCGTGGAAGAGGAGAGACGTCTCAAGGCAGAGTTCAAGAGCGTTATGAACCGTGAAGATGATGACGAAGAAGATGAGGAATTTGGTGGCATCTTTAAGAAGCGCACCAAAACTCAGGCGCAAACCGATGCTGAGGAGGCAGACTTTGCTAAATGGCTGGCCGGCAAGCAGGCGGATGCAGAGATCGACGCAAATGCAAAGCAACAGTTGGCTCCACTCAAGCAATACTGGAGTAGCAACAAGTTAACTCAAGGAGAGAGTTTTCTGCGTGACTACATACTCAATAAGGGCTATGCCAACACTAATGAATCCGAAATCCCTACCTACGATGAAATCGTGGGAGAGAGCGCTCCATTGTCAGATGACGAAAAGGAGCTGGAGAAACAGGCAGAGTTTGAGCAAAAATACAATTTTCGTTTCGAGGAGCCAGATGCAGAATTTATTAAGCGTTATCCAAGAACTATTGAGCAGTCGCTTCGTCGCAAGGACGACACACGTAAGGAAAAACGTAAAGAGATAAAGCAGCGCAAGGAGCAGGAGAAATTGCAAAAGATGAAGGAATTGGATTTGATTAAGGAAATGAAACGCAAAGAGATTGAAGAGAAAATACGCAAGCTAAAAGCAGTTACGGGCAACGATGAGCTGGGCTTTAAGGATGAGGAACTGGAGGAGGATTTCGATCCGGAAGCACACGATCGACGCATGCAGGAAATTTTCAATGATGAGTACTACGAAGTGGATGAGGGCGAAGAAAAACCTGAGTGTCCTTCAGATATTGAAGAATTGGCAATTGAGGATTGGGATAACTACGATCCAAAGCAATACAATGAGCAAGATGACGAGGGCCATTGCGAAGACGATGACTTTAATATGGACTGTGATTATGATCCAGTCACCGCCAAGCAACAACTGCAACAGGAGCTGATCGAAAATACGCGGAGTCGAAAAGGTCGCAAGGGACGTCGCAATCGTTTCATGGAAATGATTCAAGCAGAGAAGCCGCCGTTTAATCCAGATGACGAACAGACATATGGTGACTATATTGATGAATACTACAAACTGGACTATGAGGACATAGTGGGCGACCAACCTTGTCGATTCAAGTACGTGGAGACGACGCCGAATGATTTTGGTTTAACAATCGAGGAGGTTAGTGAAGAATAACAATGTCTTGAAAGAAGGATTGTAATTTTTTTATACGTTCAGATCTTGTTGGCTAAGAACAAGGAGCTCAACCAATGGGCTAGTCTTAAGAAGGCTGTGCAAAACCGTCCTGAGCATGTGGAGAAAAGAGAGCAGCGCTTGTACAAGATGAAAGCCAAGAACGAGGACCTTAAGCGAAAGATTTTCAAAAGTTTATACGGCGATGGGTAAGATTATGGACTATAAATAATATCTTGTGCTAAGATAACGAATATTTGCAGCTCTGATGATGAAGAGGAAAGTGGTGCACAAGCTGGAACCGAACTAGTTGTTAAAGCGGACCCCAATGAGCAGCCTGCTGCGCCAGTTGCAGAACAAGTGCCCACAGAGACACTATCAAAGTCCAAGCGAAAACGACTAAAAAGAAAAGCGGCAGCTGCAGCTGCAGCGGCAACAACAAGTGCAACAACTCCAGCTCCAGTTAAGAATGACGAGCAAGAGAGTTCAGATCTTGTGAAGAAAGAAGACGCAGCATCTAGTGAAAAACCTGCCAAAAAACAGAAGATTGAAGAAGTTGAACAGACAATGAAGACTTCGGATGAAAGGAATGGAGCGCCGGCTGCAACCAATGGGACACCACCAGCAAAGAAGAAGAAGTTCGAAAAACAAAAGCCGCAAATAGAGAAACAGGTTGCCAACAAGGAAAACTCGAAAAATCCATTTGCTAAAAAGCAAATGCCTAACAAAAATGATGCCAAAACAAATGATGCAAACAGCAATCCTTTCAAAAAGCAACAAGCTCCAAGGCCTCCACAAACTCAGAGACCGCAACAAGCCTCAAGGCCTCAAAAAGGTCCAAGGCAAAAACAAGGTCCAGGACAGCAAAAAGCTCAAAGAAAGCAGCAAGCCCCAAGGAAGCAACAAGCTCCAGGACAGCAACCAGCTCAATCAACAGGCCCAAATCCGTTCAAGAAGGCAGGCAATAAAGGCGAGGCACCGCGGTCTAAGCGAGACTTTAAAACCAAAGGCAAAGCGAATAATTCTAATCCTAACGGCATCAGCGATGATCGGCTCAAGGCCTACGGCATTAATCCGCGCAAGTTTCACAATCGGCAAAAGTATGGAAAGAAAGCGCAGTGAGCAATCTGTAGAGGAAGACTGCGTATATTTCATATATTGTATATACTATATATATATATTGGGCACTCGCTACTGCGGTGTAGTCTTATCATTATGTACATAAAAACATATTAAAAAAAAAAAAGATAAAACAGATACAAATTAAAAACAATAAATTTTAAAGCGGTTGGGTTACGTGGTGTCCACTGGTTCCAAGGCGGAGTCAGAGTCTTCCGCATTATCATCCTCTTCCTTATTCGACTTCTTACTAACATTACGTTGCAATTGTAGGCGACGCTCCTGGATGCGCACACATTTCGGGCATATCATGTTCTTCCGGGTGAAGCACGCACGATGGTAAATGGAATTGCATTGATCACACTTGATGCAGCCATCGTCGAAGGGGAATATCACCTCGTTGTTGCTGCAGATCTCACAGATGTACGCCTTCGCTAGGCACATTTCACAACTACGTATATGGCTGCCAAAGACCTTGAAGACGCTTTGCAGGAATTCAGCTAAGGCACCCGATTCAACCTGCACGAGATCACCAATTGAGTAGAACTCATTGGACTGCGCCAAATGTCGGCGTCTGCCCAACTGTTGATCCATGAGCTTCTGTTCAGCAGCATCCTTACATGCAGCTAGATAGTGTCGCATATGCGCCAGGTTCTGACGTAATTTCTTAACAGTACAGAGCTTCTCTAAGAAGACAAACAACTTGGGGTTCTCCTCCTCCAGACGGATGAGCGGCTTATCAAGAAACAACTTGATCTCCTGGAGACCGGTTCGTGAGACTTTTCTCGGCGTAAAGTCCCAGTTGTGCACAATACGAGCAGGCACAATAAAGCTATCATTCCAGTGGCACGAGGGACAGTAGTAGAGACCGCGATAATCGCAGAGGCGTGGCTCAATCCAGGAATTCTCTGCAAGAAATATTTGTGATTAGCTGGTAGGCTACAGATAACGATGCCTTGTTACTTACTGAAATTAAGCAGAGTCGAGCACTCTGCACATTTATAGCGTTGGGCGGCTAAGCCAATCTCTGGGCAAATATCGGCAATCGGATATTGACGATCGGAGGCCAGCACATGAGCACACACACGCTGCACACTGTCAATACATTTTTGGTGAACCAGGTAGCTGCAATCGCTGCAGATGTAGGCCGCCTGCACGACTCGCCAAATAATCCCGGCGCAATGATCACAATAGTATCTTTTGGCAGCTGCTTGTAGGCGGTTACGTGCGTTTGGATGATGTGGCACAAAATGGTGTCCCACCACCGACTTTATAGCATTCAATACCACTACATCCGTGTTGGCCACCGCCTGCGCCTCTTCCAGCTCCTGCAGGGAATAGCGCAAGTCCACCAAATGACGCACTAGCCAACGACGCTCCTCACTACATTCATCACTCAGCAGGACAAGATCGCGGCAATGCGCAATGGCTGCCTGTAAGTCCTGGCTGTTGGCATCTGAGGTGAATATCAAACGCCACTGTTCCTTCACCAGAGATGCGGGAATGGGCAACGCCTTGTAGTCCGTATGCTGTGGAGCACTCTCCTCGGAAACAGAGGAGCTTGAATGTGACGAATTTAGATAACTAGAAGCTGTTGATGCACTGTCGTTGACAAATTGTGCAACTGCTGTTGGTAAACTGGTTATACTCTCACGCCAGGAGCTCATCTTACAAACAAACAGCGCAAAAGGTACAATTTATTTACTCATCTGCACCTACGCCTTTGTTTAGCAATTAAACAGTGTTGCCCTATCAAACAATGGTAAAAATACAAGAATGTTGCAAAGTCAAAAATACTATTAAACGTCTGTCTGTCATTCAAATTACAAAGCATATTATCAGTGAATTTAATAATTTTTTTTTTTAATATCTTATCTTTATTATTTCACAATGCAATGAAATTTATAAAGGCATTTTGATTCATATTTTGGCGCACACTTTAACAGACAAATTCAGTTAACAGTAACGTAACATAACGTTGGCTTAATATCACAGCACTCACGCATTCGGTTCTCATTTGTCATGTGAATGACATTATATAAGAAGAAGCAGTAATATTTTTTTTAATTGCAAATTTCTGGGAGCGTGCGTGCAATGTGAATCGGCATTTATTTAAACATCAGAAATAAATTTGCTGCGGCACTCGTAACGCCATCAGTTAGCCCAAACACTAAAGAATTGTGCGCGTGACGTGTTGGTGCCATTTTCGTGCGTGGTTTTAACGCAACCAATTCATACCATTGCCGCTCGGATAGCGACGCCGCCGCTGCCGCAAGCTGATGCTACATACAAATATTGCATTAAAGAAGATTTGTGCAGCGCAATCAACAAATGCCGTTATCTCCTCATTTCACTCAGTTTAACAGATTGCAACATCATTTAGCTCCAACTTGTGAACAGCACTCAATGAATGCAATCACTACGCTTTAAATGCAGCAGCGATTCAAATCAAATTCGTAATTGACACATGTGAAGTACATATAAAATCGGCTGTAGTCAAAGATATACATTGTATGCAGACAGGTAAGTTTATAAACCATACTGCAAAACGACCGCATTTTTCTGCGAAACATATGTGTGTGAGTGGGAGTGTGTGTGCGTGAGTGTCTGTTATGTGTGGGCCGTGTGAATGCTTGCTTGTTGATACGCGGCTTATAACCAACTTTTGATTTGTTCCTATGCTTAGATTACGCAGTGATTCTCTTTCTATTCACACCAATAACGACAGTTGTGTGCATGTGTGCGTGTGTGCATCAGCAGCGACCACTCCACCAATGCCCAAATCCGCCCCACTCTTCCATTCATCACTTATATGCATGTATTTATAGAGCAGTCCATGTGCGTTGGATTTTTTTTTTATTTTGACACTTGTGTATGTGTGTATTCAGAATATATATAAGTGCATATGTATATATGCTACTTTATATGAGTAATTTAATGTTATTTTTTGGTATTTGTTTTGCAGTTCTAAATTTGATTTTTATTTAACTATTTGGGGCATCTGAAATGCTTCGTTTATTGCAAGATAACAAATTTTTGCATAAATATATGTATTTAGTAGTATCTTATCATTAGATTAGTTGTCTAATTTGGTAATACTATTTGCTGCGTGGGTGTTTAATGAATATTCAGACATACATATATGTACATATGGATGTGTATGTGTGTGGGGCCGTATATGGAGCATAGTCGCCTATCGGCAATGACACATTTATCATATCAACATGTGTTTTACGCTTACCAACTCTTTGGAAAGCACTTTTTAATGCTCTACTTGTAGTTCAAATTGGTAAACGGTTAAAAATGCTGTGGACTTTGTAATATGTATATATTTAATAAAGTTCTTGTATAGCCTACAGCTTATTTCATACTCGCAGCACGTTCACCTGTTTGCTGACAAGTTTGTATAGAAGTAGTATAAAGGGAATTAATAGGCAATTTAGTTAAATACTATCTAGAAATCTTTACTATCTCTAATACTTAAGCTACTAAAGATAAATGTAACTAGAGTGAAACAGAAAGTTCCAAGAATTTTAGTTCATCCGCTTGAAAGACATTTCAAGAACATCTTCCTTCATAAAGAGTATCTAAAAGCTGGTAATACAAACTGAGTAAACTCTTCAATAATTGTTTATATGTACATATATATGGCACAATTATAGAGTTGATTGAGGTTTATCAATTGGCAATGGTCATGGAACAGAACAGAACAATTGGAATCGCTTGCAGCATGCGGCTGCATATTAACAATTTCGCTAGCAATCGAATTGAGAGTGCAACGAAGTGAATTACATAGTTCATGCAATGCATTTTAACGAACCCATTTTAGCACCACCTGATCGGCCCTCGCATTTTATCAGGAAGCACTGGGACATTACAATGCGATTACCGCATGATTCTCGATATAGATCGCAAATGAATTATTTATCGTAATGAGCAGCCCTTCAATAAGTTTAGGTTGTAGCCGTAAATAGGTATGAGGTACAGGTATAGGTACAGCCCATGTGTAGGTTTATCAGAGTGGCATATGTCGTGCTAAACTTGGACCCTCGTAATACACTATTTACTATGAGTGCGGCGTAGTCAATGGACATGGGAAGGTCAATCCACATGCGACAAATGACTACGATAGCGGCAGGCCAAGTCGGTGACAGCGGCAGCGACTAAAGCCAACGTGAGCGGCACTCTAAGCATATTTACTATAAACATATATATATATATGTATATAGTATGTATATCAACTTGTAAATCTTCAAGTTAGCTGCTACTCAGAACTTTAAGCTCACCCATAAAATTAATATACATACCCTGTACAGATTGTGCAAGTATTTGTGACCAACTCAGCTGCCGCTTAGGGAACCTAGATGTATTATAATTTAAGTTAAATATAAATTTTACAGAATTTTTGTATTCTGCTTCATTTAAGGTCTCTCAATTGGTTTCCATTTAGCCTTTTTATTAGTGGAAACTTTTTTTTCGAATCCTAGTACTCGTTTAATCAAATATTCGTTTAGTTTTCTGTTCTGAATTTTGAAAAAGAGATAAAAATTATGTATTCTTGTTGATTTTAGTTTGTGCTGTGTTCAGGAGGGTATCGCGACGGCGGGCATTGCCTAAAAAAACCACTCACAGTTTGTTTGTTCAGTCATATGAGTCGGTCCATATCTACCCAACAATATTATTAGCTGGCGGCTGAAATTTCATGTTGTGCTCCCTGCTGAGTGGAGAATTGGAGACTTGGAGATAACGTGCAACGAGCTGAGTCGACGCTTCGTTCGTTTCGCGGGCTCGACAACCGGTAATAATACGACCAGCCCAACTTTTCGTTCGTTTATGCTGTGTATGTGATTTGCTATCGTCGTGCGGCTTTAGGTATGAAATTTCAGTTTTCAAAAGTGCTAAAATGGAGATTCAACGATAAAAAAAAAGCACATGACTCAGGCTCACAAGTTTATTGGCCCTGAAGATTTAAGTGACTTCGTGGAAATTATTTATTATTTATGCCAGCTTAGCAATTACGATCAGCAGTTTGTTTTTTCTCTTTGATATTTGAAGATTTTGGAATTTGGAGCTCTTGAGACCTGAAGTAGAAGTTTATATTATATGAAACGAGGCGATCTGAGATAGCTGCTGACCATTTAATAATTTAGTTTATATGAACGAAAGGGAAAGCTTATTCAGAACAGAGTATTTATTTATTTATTAGATAGCAATTTCCTTGAGCTTATTTATAAATTGAGGGAGCAAATCGTAAGGGTATAATTATAAGAGTTAAATTTTCCACTGGTTTCTACTGAAGTTTGACGAAGAGTTTCAAGTATTATTAATAGTTACATCATTTGTGCTACTATTCAGTCTATATTAATCATATCTCCATTTCGATAAATCAATTTTTCTGATAGTGTCCTAGCCTAATTTATGGTCATCAGTGCTAAAAACTGAAATTTACTTTCACCAAGCATTATAAACGTACTTAATATTCAAGTAATAACGAAATATTTTACATACAGACCTTCTAGTTTACGATCGATATTATTGAGCTCATTTATGTATATATACATCTAGTATTTTTTGTTCAACTACAAGCTAATTCGACACTCTGGTCGACTGGAGCACGCCCCATTCCCTTGTTTTGATAATAGAGTGCTCCAAAAGATTACCAACCAGACGGAAACTGGGCGCGACATCAATGCAACAGATCAACAGAGAGACCCGACCCACACACATATACATATGTATATAATGAAAAGTAATTCACACGAGTTTACTATAAAAACCAGCTGAAAGCGTCGCGCGCTACTCAGTTAAGTTTCGTTTGAAAGCGCGTCCAGAGCTTGGCCCAGTGGCTGGTGGGTGTGCGGGTTATAGTAAAAATATATGGAATATATATATATATATATATAGAAATTGCAGGCAAAGCTAAACAAGTCTGTTTGACCTAAACGTGAATTCCATGCTCAAGAACGAAGAGCTCTTTAATTTCTCTCAGTGTTTTACTGTGTGTGTGTATGTGTGTATGTGTGGGTGACAGTGGTGCAAGAGATTTGAATATGGAATATTACAGTCATAAAGTTCTAAAGGATATTGCAAAACCTTACTAAATATAACTCGCACAATAATTTCTCTCAGTGTTTTAAAATGCTCTTAGCTACTGTTTGTTGTTTTCAATGAAGCAAATAAATCTCAGAAACTCTTACTAAACTTCAATTTCTCTCAGTGCAACTGTGAAACTTAACTTCTCAGAGTTCTTTAATTATATTTTTAAATTAACTTTCAGCAATTTACAATATTTTCAATTGGCTGCACTGTAATTTCTCTCAGTGTTTCGTTGAGTATGTGTCTGTGATTTCATGCAAAACATGCAAACTGAATTTAAATGAGCTTTGATTACAAATAAACAGAAAATACAACAAAAACAACAACGATTGGCGGTCAGCACTTGACCAATTGACTGAGTAGTCGAATTGATTGGCAACGGCAAATTGACAAATTGACAAATTGCAACAACAACAAAAAACTAAAAAAAAAGAAACATCAGAAACAAATTCAATTTTAATAATATAAAAAAAAGGAACAAAAAAAACTTGTGTGTGAGAAAAGTCCGTCATTTATTGAAGCGTGGCTTCTATTTTAAATTTCTTTTTTCTGCATTTTGTTATTGTATTTTGTTTAATTGATTTTTATTGACATATAATCAAGTTGTTGCAGAGTTGTTTTTTTGTTTTTTTTTTTTTTTTTTGCCTGGCAACAAGTGTACGTTTGACTTCAACCTTTCACCTTCAGCGTCGCCTGCCTGTGTCGCTCGTGCGTCCTTGTCATTGCCCAAGTGCAATGCCACGCCCACCGGCCACCCCCATGACCTTCACGCCAGCAACTTTAGTGCAGCAACAGCGGCAGCGGAAAACGGTGACGTTTCCCTTTTATTAGGTCGATGATAGTTGATAGAAATTGCGTAGGTGCAAAATACGCCTACCCACGCTAACTTCAGCCGCCCTACGTAGCGTCGCTCCAGGCAGCATGCTAGGTCGTAAATATATTTTTTGACTAAAGTTTTATCAATAATTGGGCTGCTCACCCGCCCTATCGCCCGATCGCCCTATCGCCCTACCGCCTTCCAGCTGGTTTGCAGGAAATCAAACTAATTGTCTGGTAGCCCATTCAGTGCGCAATTGCGAAATTGTTTAAATGACAACAACAAACATCATAAACAATAACAACAACTACTGCAGCTAGTTAAAGCAATAACACAGCAATTTTCTGTATTGTGTTAACGTATTTTATACCCCTAACCCATTGCAACTGCATAGCAAAATTGAGGGTATATTGATTTTGCAAAAGTTTTTGTAACAGCTAGATAACAGCATGAGAATTTGATACTCGTGATAGTTATTAATTAAGGGTATAAATGTGATTTGGCGATCGATTTTATATTATATACATACTATAAGTATGTATATAATAAATCATATAGTAGAGATGAAAATCGTTTATGGGCTTAGCTATTTGAGTACATATAGAATTTTAGAGCTAGAATCGGATTATATTGTATATTTCATAGTCCTCTACATTAAATTCACAATTTTTCAGCAAATTCACTTTTAACACTTTCAGGGTATTTCTAAGTCGATCATCTCCCCCCTTAAACAGTTGCGTTATTTTGGTATGCTGGCGTTGCGGCAATATTTTCTATTGCTATTGCCATGTCTTTCACTTTTGCCACGCGCCAAATGTGGTTTGCATTTTGCCTTGTTGCAGCTATTGATGACGTCGCCTTTGGGGGGGGGGAGCTGTCTATGACTCCCACACTTTATATAATCACGGCTCGAAGCTAATTAACTCGACTGCTCGTGTTGTTTGGCAATCACAGGCAATGCATTAAGGCGAAAGCCGCTTAGCTAGCAAGAACAGAACAGAACTTGACTTGAGTGAGTTTGAAATAAGTATAGTTAAGACTCTAAAATCTAAAATGAATGTAAATAAGTTAAAATTGTCACATAAAGAGCTTATCTCAGCGAACAACAATGTAAAGTGATAACTTGTGAATAACTTGTGAGTAAAAGCTGGAAAAAAATGCGCAGAATTTTGGGATTTTCATCTGGTTAGCTAACAAATACCCTGTGTTTATGGACTAGTAATAGATGAGCTCCAAGTTTGTATATACCTTATTTGTTTTTTAGATTAACCAATAGTTATGAATACATTACAATTTTACATTTCTATACAAACAAATTAGATACTGATACACATACATATGTATGTATATGTATATACGATTTCCTTTAAAGTTCTTGTTGATCTACCAAACACATATGGCTGGCTCAACTTGTCTCTTGTCACTGATCTAGCAGATAACTGTGGTTAAGACTCCTTCGGACTACTGACACTAGATATAACTATATAAAGAGTGCAAATATTAAGTGATCCTACACAGAGAACATTTATAAGCAGCGATTAGAAAACACGTTTTAAAAGCATTTTCACACCTACTGTGAAATGATTGATTCGCTGAATATGCTGCCAAAGCTGAGTCGATTGACTTGGCAGCAAGAAATGCAGCCACAATGTTCCATTTAAGGCTGCAGGCAAAGTGGTTGAGTGTGCGTGTGCGTGTGTGTGGCGTAACAATACGTGGCCATATTTGGAGTCCTCATCAAGTGGCCGCCAAATGAACTTGAACTTCCGCTAATTTGTTGGGACTGTTTGCTGTTGTTGTTGTCGGCTTATGCAATGGTTTTTTGTAATTTGTGATCGACACATGCGTAATGAGTGTGGGGGTATTCACAGTGTCGTCCAACACGCTTCACTGAGCCGGCCAGCCGTTAGCCAATTCCAACTATAAATATTTTTTTTTACCTGCTTGCAGAATCAACAAAGCGCTGGAATTTCGGAATATATAATGAGCAGATTGGGCCACAACAAACGAGAATAAATCAGTAACAGAAGTCAGTGGAGAGAAGGGGAACGGGAACAGAAGCTGGATCCGCAGCGGGTTCAGGGGCATCAGAAGATTCAACAACAATTAGCAGCAAGCATTGACGGTCCACGATGGCACGACACATAATGGCCGTGTGTGTGGTGTGCCTGCTCTGTGCACAGCGGCTGCATTGCCAGGATCACGATGCCGAGAAGCTGTGGGCGACACAGCGCACAACGATCAGTCTGAATGCACAGTTAGCCAATGGCAATCTAAGTCCATCCAGTGAGATATCCACCGAACAGAGGCAGCTGGCCGATGAGAATGATACCCAGAACTATAGCACAAGTCCGCCCTACAAGAGACACAGACGACACGCAGGTCACGACCATGAGGCCGAGCACGGGCACGGCGCGCCACTGAAACACGTCCCGCAGATTACGCAATACTACCTGCAGCAGTTGATGCAACTGCACGAGGCTCTCAATGCCAGCAGTCTGCGTACCCTGATGCAGCAGCTCGGACTGCAGCATCTGGTCAGCAGCAACGATAGCGTAAGTAGCTGCAGTTCTTTCCAATTCCAAGTTTGACTAACGTCCTCTTTGTAATACATTGCAGTGTGTGCCAGTTGATCGCCTGGTGCATCATGTGCAGCCGCATGATCTCAGCCATATCGGCGATAAAGCTGCGGAGCACCCACTGCTGTTGACCAACTGCACGCTGACACCCAACGGCACGAGCACCAGCATTGCCTGCAGCCCACTCGAAGCCACTGCACCATCACAGCCGGACTATGAGCTAAATGAAAGGGAATTGATGTATCTGTGTCCAGTGCTGCTGCACGAATTGGCGACGAGCAGCGGCGGTTGCATTGCGCCCGAAGTGCTGGCTGATATTGATAAATTCGAGGCGCAACAGAAAGACGACATTTTATATGGTAAGTTTGGAGAGAGACGTTAGCTTAGCCTATTTCAGACTAGATGTAGGAAAGTAATCTATAGAGTATGGGTTCAATAGTCGTCCCTAAGAGAATTATAAAACGGAAGAAACTACTCTCTATGCCGTCTAATAACTATAAATATGTAGATATATGAGTCCGTACACTATGTAGCTGTTATTATACATACATATATACTCTTGAGCAATCCGAGTTAACTTTGAGTGTTTGGCTGCCTATAAATATGCTCGCATGTCTGTCTGCCTAAGAAGAGCAAGAGCCAAAGAAGAACCACAGAGGAAGATCAATTCAACTCTCTATGCGTGCATTAGTATTCATTCGGTATTTATAGTTGAGTAAAACGAAGCAGCAGCGAGCCTTCCCTAATGCTCGGCTGTAACGATCGTGACCTTGCGTCGCGCCCAATTTTGAGCGCAACTTACAAGCAAGTCGACCTATATAAAGGGCAGCAGCTGCAGCATTTCTTCAGTTGCCCAGGCCCGGTGGGTGTCGACAGCCTAGTGCTGCAGTAAAGTGAAGCGAAGTGGAGTGTGTGTGAATATTCAAGGTCGTTCAGCTAAGCATTGAATACAGAGAAAATACTTGAAGGGAATTCTTGGAGTGAATACATAGAGCAAACACTTTCAAGAAATACATACTTATATATATATTTAATATAAATCACATTTATGGGAAATGTTATCAATTTAATAGTGTAGACTATCTACACTTGTATAAGGTGTGTCTATTACATATATTATATTTAATATGATAAGATTTTAGCTGAGCGTCTGTAGCATAATCAATGATGCCTTATCTATACAAAAAATGTATATATGTGTATAAAATATTCCTTTTCCTTAAAGAATATATATATGTATAACTATTTATAGATTAATCATATTAATATTTCTATTTTTCTTACAGTATGGATTTATGCCTTTTCATCGGTGTTTGCTTGTGGTATATTGGGTCTTGTGGGCGTGGCCATAATACCATTCATGGGCTCCCGCTACTACAAGCACATCATACAATATCTCGTGTCGCTGGCCGTGGGCACGATGACCGGAGATGCGCTGCTTCACTTGCTGCCACACGTAAGTTTAGATAGTAGAAAAACTACCAAATAAACTTTACTAATAGTTGATTATCTATGTCGGTCTAGTCGCTGGCTGGCCAGGACGAGCGCGGCATGATCATGAAGGGCTTGGGCTGTCTTGGTGGCATTATATTCTTCTATGTCACGGAACATGCGCTGACCATGATATCGGAGTGGCGCAAAAGCGTTGAGAAGAAGGAAACAAAGAAACCATCACGCGCCAAGGTGATGCGCGATCCGGACTCATCAGTTAACAATTCAGTGGCTGGCGACAAAATGTGCAAACAAAAGTATAGCTCATATCCGTACTGCTATGACGAGATCACAGTGAATAATAAGCAGGATGTGTGGATGCATTTGCCGGACGAGGGCTCAGGGCCTGCTGGTTCCTCAGCTGCTGCAGCTGCGGGTGCTGGCGGCGATGCTTCCAGCGGCGAGTGCAGCAATCGGCACTGTGACAAGACTGAACAAGAAGGGTCGAGTGAAGCGGCAGCGGCCGCTCAATCGCTGCTCTCTACCTCGCACAATAACTATGCCGAAATGAACCATCATTATCACAATCACAATCACAACAATCATCAGCAGCACCAGGACAGCAGCAATACGGCAACAACTGAATTGGACACCAACGCTAGCTCCGTAAATGGCGCGAAGGACAAGAACGATCATGTGACTGTTATATTGCGCGAACATGAATCCTCCCATCATGGACACAGTCATCGCCATGGACACGTGCACTCGCCACCGGAGACGCTGAGCGCTGTTGCCTGGATGATCATTATGGGCGATGGTCTCCATAATTTTACCGACGGTATGGCAATTGGTGCTGCTTTTGCTGAGAATATTGCCGGTGGCTTCTCAACCTCGTTAGCTGTCTTCTGTCATGAGCTGCCGCATGAACTGGGCGACTTTGCCATCCTGATGAAGGCCGGAATGTCGGTCAAGTCGGCTGTGTACTATAATCTGTTGACGGGTGTGCTCAGTTTTATTGGCATGATCTTTGGCATTGTGTTTGGACAATCACAGGAAGTGGCCCAATGGATGTTTGCCGTGGCTGCGGGACTCTTCATCTACATTGCGCTGGTCGATATGGTGAGTATGATTTGTGGCTTTAGTCGGCTAATCTCTATGCTAAATTTTGGATCTTCGATTTCATTTACAGATGCCGGAGATCTCGGCTGCTCACAAGTCGCTGACACAGTTTTTGTTGCAAATTCTGGGCATGCTCAGTGGTGTGGTTATTATGCTCTTCATTGCCATCTATGAAGGACAATTGATGAACGCATTTGGAACAACGCCGACTAGCTCAGTTCATCATCAGCATGTGCACTAATGGAGCTAAGGAGGATGAGAGATGGAAAACGAGAGCGAGAGCGAGAGCGAGAGCCACGGAGAGAAAAGGATCCACTGTCTTCAGAGCCAAGCAGAGAATCTTGTAGCGTATTATGTGTATTTTTCGAGCATAGGTTTTTTTAGTTTTTGTATAATTGTAGTACTCTATGTTATATATATATATTATTTACCTCAGTCCACACTCAAGCACACAGTTTGACACACACACATGCATACAAAAGAGACATTGCAAATCATTAAGTAATTAATCCCATAATATTCGCATTTGTTAAACAGTTTATGAAACACACACAGATGGACATTTGTTAACTGCCACTGAAGCGTTGTCCGCAAATTGAATTTCGTTCCTAAAAGTCTCATAAGCCAATTTGCGTTCGTTTTCGAATCAGTTTGTATTGATTTATACACACATACACATGCACATACAATCAGCACATACACTCAACATACATACATAACATACACACCCACATTTAATGTAAGAAACTTTCAATGTGCATAAGCTATAAAGTGATTATGAATTTAAAAAAACGATAAAAAGCAAAACAACACTTGCTTAAAAAAGTTAAATGTGAAAACAGAAAAACATCAAAATATGTTCAGATGAGAAACAATAATTGAATTGAAACAAAGGCGAGCACTGATGAATATGATAGAGCCTACAAAATGCATGTAAACGCTATAGACGTTAAGTCTTTGAAATGAAACCTAATCTTAATTTACGAAATTGCGATTCAATATTGTAGCGTGTATATTTTTTAAGGCAAACAATTATATACACATAGATTTTTTGTATTCTGTAGTCTTTAGGGAACGCACGTTAAAAAAAAAAAAACACATTCGACTAAGCAAAATAATTTTGTATACCCTTTATGTATGTGTATATATACAACGGTATATATACATATAATTACAAATTATATTTAGCAGTACTTAACGTTTTGTTTCGTACTACTTTTTGAAATCCACAAAATTATTTAAAGTTAATTTATTGCTATCGTAATAGGACTTAATAGGGCATGATCATATTACCTTCTTTTTTGGCATCGAAATTTATGTTCGTTTATTTTTTATGTTGAAATAAACAAAGTTTAAAATATGTTTAGACTTATGTTTCTCTAATTGAATTTTGTGTTTTATTTTTGATTTAATTGCACAAACACACACACCCACACATAACTAAACGTAAGTGATTGTGATTGAATATTGAATTGAGTAACTAACATTTGTAAAATGAAGCGTAAATCTCGTATAGAGGACTCTGAGAAGCAAAAACCCACAACATTTACACACACAGCTAAGTATGACATCCTAATTAGCTGAGCAAACAATAAGCCCACACTAAATGCTATTGAGGCAGTAAAACCTATATTTATATATATATACTAGTTATAAGCTCAAAATTAAACAATACTATATATATATGATAACATTTTTCTAAAAATTAAAAAATAACATTCTTTGGTGATATCAGCAAAAGGCAATTGAAACGAAATAAACATACGAGTATAATAATAAACTTAAGTCGATATAATGAAACAGCATTATTTACGAACATTTTTAGATATATACAATGTTCTAGCAATGCACTTCCACACTTCCACTCTTTAAAATTTCCAAATAAATGTTTTCCGCATCATACAAACATCACTCAAGTTTTCTCTAATTAAAATCGGGCGCGCAATGTATCGAAAGTTGCATCAGTGCTGCAATCGATAGCTGCCGATAGGCGACTATCTATTATTTCGTGTGCCGAGAGCTTGGCAACTCTTTGAATGTTATTGGTAGAGCAGGCCAACAATAGTGGCGCTGTCAAACTGTGAAAGATGCTAGCGACCGGGTCGGAATTACTGCTGCCAACGATTTGCAAATTTCTGGCTATTTTCTGCATAATTATTACACAGAACAATGTGGCTGGCAACCTGAACCCCACCGCCATCGGCGTGCATAGGCGGTTTGAGTACAAGTACTCGTTTAAGCCGCCATACTTGGCTCAAAAAGATGGAACGGTGCCGTTTTGGGAATACGGGGGAAGTAAGTAAACGAAAGGGGGTCTCAGCTCCACGTCAGTTGTTTTGACCACTTGCGCAGCTTGTCGTGTGTGCGAGCGAGACAGCAAAACGGCCAGCATCAGACAAGAAACTACGAACGACAACGCAACGCCAAAGCAACAAAGTGTACACGCAGGCACTTTGGTTAAATTGGAATTTGTGTATAAACTAAACGTCACCTGTTGCCTCTACATTTCAGATGCCATCGCCAGTGCCGAAAGCGTACGCGTGGCGCCCTCGTTGCGTTCACAAAAGGGCGCCATCTGGACGAAATCACAGACAAACTTTGATTGGTGGGATGTGGAGATCGTGTTTCGTGTGACTGGACGTGGACGCATTGGTGCCGATGGTCTGGCCTTCTGGTATACAACAGAGAAGGGTGACTACAATGGTCCTGTGTTTGGCTCCTCCGACCGTTGGAACGGTCTGGCCATCATCTTTGATTCGTTCGACAACGACAACAAGCACAACAATCCCTACATCAGTGCCGTCGTCAACGATGGCACCAAGCAGTACGATCACACCAATGATGGTGCAACGCAGTTGCTCAGCGGATGCTTAAGAGATTTCCGTAATAAGCCCTTCCCCACGCGTGCTCGCATCGAGTACTATAACAATGTGCTCACCGTGCTCATCCACAACGGCATGACGAACAACAACGATGACTACGAGCTGTGCTTGCGCGCCGATGGCGTGCAACTGCCCAAGCATGGTTACTTTGGCATTTCGGCGGCAACTGGTGGCCTGGCCGACGATCACGATGTGTTCCACTTTTTGACCACGTCACTGCATGCTGCCGGCCAGGTGCAAGAGCCCCCGAAGGTCGACAATCAGGAGAAGCTGACGCAGGAGTACAAGGAGTACCAGGATAAGCTTGAGAAACAAAAGCAGGAATACAAAAAGGAACATCCAGACGAAGCGGTAAGTTATCTAATCAGTGCGCGCCACTCAAGGCGTGTGGCTATAATGCCGTAAATTGTCTGCCTAATCCACGTTGACACTCAATTGTGTGATAGACAGGCGCTATCTGCGCCGCTGATAATGCGTGTTGAGCTAACAAGGCTTTTCTTTTTACAGCACAAAGACGAGGAGGAATGGGAAGAGTTCTACGAGTCGGAGAATCAGCGAGAGCTGCGTCAAATTTGGCAGGGACAAAGCCAGATAAACGAGCATTTGCGCGAACTGTCGCGCAAGGTGGACGAGATCATTGGACGTCAGGAGAATACACTCTCTCTAGTCTCGCGTGGCCTGGCGGCCAATGCCGGCCAAGCGTTACCTCCTCCAGCAGCTGGCCAAGCGCCACTGCCTCAGGTAACCGCTGGCGTCGCAGTCACACGGCAGGATGTGGACTTGCTGATTGCTAATCAGAACATTCTTCTAACCACCATACGGGAGATACGTCAACTAGCTGGCGATATCAATGTGCGCACTGATAATATACAAATAAATCAGAAGAACGCGCCCACGGCGCAAATTCAGTCCACTGGCTACGATGTGCAGTCATTGATAACCGAAATGCGCGATGGCATGAATCAAGTCAAGCAGGGCATCTCCCATGTGGGACAGAGGTTTGTCATCTACTCAATTTAATCTTGTTTATGATATTGCTAATGCTGCGTTTCTATTACAGATTGGGTATGCCGCAGGCTGGGGCACAGACAGCGCCTTGTCCCACCGGCAGCTGCGTGGGTGTTACGTTGTTCCTAAGCGTTACAGCTGTGCAATTGCTGCTAGTATTTCTCTACAATATATTCAAGTAAGTCAATCAATTATACACTCGAACTGTCTTATCTAAATTCAAATTCTATTCGTTCACAGAAATCGAAGCGAGGCGCAAGCGAAAAAGTTCTATTAGGCTTTCGGCTCAGCTAACCAAAACAATATCTAAAACGAACTCACACACACTCAGCACACACACACACACACACCTGACTAGGCGGCAACTAAATTTAGTTGAAATGAAATACTTAAGACTTCAGCGTAGATTGTTCTACACAATATTATATAATTGTTCGTTTTACGTAGACCTAATTGATTGAATAGCGCCAAGGTCCCAAAAAAAAAATAACAAAAAGAAACAAAAACAAATAATAATTATATGTGACTTAATTTGATAACAATACAAAACAAGAAAAACTGAACAAGAAAATTAGAACAATGAAGAAGCCTCATGACAAAAGCCACAAGACAAATTTCATGCACTTCTAGTACAGCATCTAGTGGAGCTAACCATATCTAAAAATCTATCTATCCTCTTCCATTTATATTGTGTTTGTAACCAATCTGTTTGTTTTTTAATTTAGCCAAGTCTAAAGTCTATTCAGTCTCTTCTCAATAACTGTGCATATCAAACGTGTGCAGCCGCATTTGAAAAGCAAAAAGAAAATTATATAAGAAAAAGAATATAAATTGTAAAACCTCTATGAAAATAATATACATAATGAATTCCATAAATTTAGCCAATAAATACTTTATATGTTTTTTGTATACATTACTTTGTGCTTAGAGCGTCTGAGTCTTCAAGTTGAAATTGGCTTCAAGTTCTTCCAGACATTCAAAAATTATCCATTTAGTGCGACTTAGCAAACGAGTTTTTTCAGCTCTTTTGTTACGAACCTGAATATTATCGAATGTGATGAATGAATTTATCACAATTTTTGTTTACCTTGCATTAGACGTGTTTTTTATACTGAATATTATATAATAATTATAAATTATAATCGAAATGAGCAACGTGTTTTTTTTTTTTGTATATGTTCCATTCCAGTCTCAATGTTTACAGTGAAAAATGAAAATAAATTTATAGAAAAACTGTACGTAAATATATATAAATAGATATTTTTCATTGTAGAGGAATTTAGATGTAAATTAATGAAGTATGGGTAAATTATTAATTAAAAATTGAAGGTTAATTATTCATATTCAACATAAGACTCGCTACAGCTACCCCGCATTCAGTTCTTGGTATATTCTAGTCGTGCACTCCCGCCTCCATAAATCTTCTTGTTATGCTTAAATAGGGTATTCAAAGTTGTTCTATTGTAAAAAGTTTTGACACTGCGGCAAAAATGGCGCCACTTTGGCGCATTTGCTGCCCAGCAGGGAGAAGAGGCAAGAGTAGCAGAAAAAGTTTGCCCATAAAATTTGACTGCCATTGGTCGCATCTCGAGGCTTGAGGTTCTACCCAACCGAGCGAAAAAACCCCAGATCCAAAGATAAATGGACAGAAGCCAACAGCAGCCGGCAGTCGGCAGCTTCCATGTTATAAATATGTAGTAATTTTTTCTTATTTTTGCTATCCCCATGGTTGGAGTGCGAGTCTGGTTGGATGGCAGCTGCGGTTGCCGGGTATATAGAGACAGGCGCTTATGTAAGTCCTGCGCATATTATGTACACGCAGCAGCAGCAGCAGCAGAAATAGCAAGACATTGCGCAGGACCAGTAGAGCGTATGAACAGGAGGCGGGGAGCCATACACATAGCTATTATGTTTTCGTAACAGCCAATCGCAGCTGGCCAAACGGGCGCACAAAATGGCCACGCGCTGTGGACTGAATGTTTTCCCGAAAAACTAATAATAATATTCATGATTCTATAAAATTGTTTAAGCATTAATTTATGCAGTAAAAAGTTAATAAACTTTCATTTGGAATTAAGTTTTGCTTATAGTTTGAATTATTGTTAAGGGTCAGATTATTTTTTTATATTTGTTGGAATAGGTTGGAGCATAAAAATTTCATTGAATCTCCATTTTTATAACTTTCATTGTAAAATAAATTATCTTCCCATTCATTTTTT